CCCCAAACCAGGCTGATGGCTGCCAGTACAGTGGTGGTGGCGGGAGCCTCTCCCACCTCCTCAGCAGCGCTAAGGATGTCTGACTGCAGCTTAGGCCTGCTCCCTGCTTGCAAGTGAACATCCCCTGAGGGCTCCCAGGCTTCCAGAGGGGTGTCTGACTGCCAGCTTAGACCCAATCCCAGGGGAGCAGGCCTAAGCCAGCAGGTTGTCATCCCCCTAGGTGTCCCAGACTGCAAGAGGGCACAGGCCAGGCTGAGGGAACCCCCTAACCCAAGTGCACACATTTTTGTGCATTGGGCATCTACTCCTTTATAATAAAAACCTAATGTGCTAAGTGTCCAGTCATCTGGTCGCCCGTTCAACCGATCAAAGCATAATATGGTAATGATATGCAAAGCTCAACCGCTTGCTATGACATGCACTGACCACCAGGGATCAGACAGTTGACTGGTTGACCAGTCATTATGAACTGCACTGACCACCAGGGGGCAGACGTTCTGACCAGCAGGTTAACTTGGTGCTGGGGTCCAGCTAATCGGGACTGAGCAAGAAGGGCCAGACACTCCCTGGAGCCCTCCAGCAGTCCCTCCTGGCTGGCCAACCTCCCACATACCTCACCAGCCCTGATTGTGCACTGGTGGGGTCTCTCAGCCTGGCCTGTGCCCTCTCACAATCTATAACACCTTGGGGGATGTCGGAGAGCCAGGTTCAGCCCGACGGCCAAATGACCGGTCATTATGATGCACACTGACCACCAAGGGACAGACGCTCAATGCAGGAGCTGCCCCCTGGTGGTCTGTGTGCTCCCCTGGGGGAGCGTTGTTCAGCGAAAAGAAGGGCCCACAGCTGGTATGTGCAGAGGTGGTGGTGGGAGCCTCTCCTGCATCCGTGGCAGTGCTAAGGATGTCTGACTGATGGCCTGGCCCTGTATTACCAGAGATGGGTTTGAACTGCCTAAGTCTATCAGACAAATAGGATTGAAATTAGGATAATGTAAGGGCCAGTGCTCAGAGGTCAGGATATTGGTGGCTGTTGGGCAGGGTGGATGGCTCCCCTCCGGGGAGTGGGTCTAAGCCGTCAGTTGGACATCCCCCGAGGGCACCCGGACTGCGAGATAGGGCACAGGTCGAGCTGAGGGACACCCCCCAGTGTACTAATTTCATGCACTGAGCATCTAGTCATACTATAAAATGTCTAAGCAGTAACTGAGAAAAGCAAAGTAGCTTATTTTCCAAAGTTGTTTTTCTCAAAGTCACAATTACTGAGATTTTTTTTAATCAAAAAGTTTGTTTGTGTAACACACTGTACAAAGTTTCCTTTGTACACACTGCTTATCACTACTGTCCAGATACTTCTGTTAAAAAACAAACTTCAACTATGTAAATTTTATAGGTCTTACTGGCTTTATTCAACAATTCATGATCCGGGCAGCATCCCATCTAGCAGATAGAAAGGAACTCAGATGAGTACCAAACACCATACCTCTAACGAAGATTTGCCTTGTAGTTGATAACATGACATGATACACTCTAATGGGGTACTCTGACCTGGTCATGAATTCTGATAACTTGAAAAATAAAGGCCAAAGTGAGGCAACAAGCATTTATTTGAGGTCAAAACAAACTGAAATCCATGGGGATAAATTCAGGAAGGAACCCAAGTTGTACCCCAGTTATGGGGGTGAAGGAAAGGGTATTTTATGAGAAAGGGAAGGGAAATAATTACATAGATAGTATAGAGGAATTTCTATTGATGCTAACAAGCTAAATTACTTTCCAACTATACATGGCTGGTTGCTGATTAAAAATGTCACAATCATCCGTGCTTGTGGTGAGGAGGTCTGCTTTCCTATTAACTTTACAAACAATTCTTTTCAAGACAGTGTTGGTTTGGCTCAAGTCCAAAGGTTATTCGCTCAGTTCAATCATTTGAAATGTATAAGGAACAAGATGAGCAAGGGATAGTGGGCTCTGTTTTTAAAATGGCTACATTTGTATCAATTTTCTCAACACAATAGGCTTGGGAGCCAAAGAGCCTTAAGGCAGCTACCATCAGTTCCTCTCTTATTTTGTTCTATGAACTTACCAAGTTACTCAGCTTTTCTGACCAATGTTTTCTTCTTTGATGTGGAAATAATTATTGTTTGTAACTTATTGGATCTTTTTTTAAGTGCAAAGTAAATGACATTAACATCTGTACAACACATTACACAATGTCTGATAGGTAGTGAGCAGTTAACAAATGTTAGCAACTATGAAAGGCTGTGTCTAAATGTATAGTTGTTGTTATTCACACAGGCTAGCTGGCCTTTTGAGCAGCACTTCCCACAGAAGCATGCTTGACTTAGCAAGTCTCTTCTAAGAGCTCTTATTTACCAGTAGCATTACCCATCATCTCAGGCATATGTACTCATACACAGTTTATTTACTTACTTGCCATTTTTCTCAGTGATTTATTAAGATAAATATTATACTTACTAGGGGCATGTTTCATGAAATTTGTGCATGGAACAGTAGGTCCTTCAGCCCGACCTGCACCCTCTCCAATGTGGGAGCCCTCAGGGGAGCCCTCGCCAATCCAGGAGTTTCTGTCTGTCATTGCAATCATATGAGCGAATTGTCTGAGACCCCAACAGAGTTTGGTTTTGTGCTCACAGAATAGTAGAGGTCTTTTTGTTTTCTTTGCTCCATTGGTGAAGATTTCCTAGAAGTTGCAGGATATCTTCCTTTTAATTTTTCCTCAACACTCTAACTTTACTTATGTCTCTCACCTATGCTTTCCCTCCATCCCCCACCCATAACAGTAACTTGCTCCAGGCTCACTTTCTCTAGTGTCTAGGAGATCGCACAATGCAATTGACACCAGAACCATGATTCCCAGCATTCCTGATGCTCCCCGCGCTCTCAGCTTCCACTTCCATTCCAGTGGCTGCCACCAGAACTACAATTCCCAGAACTGCTGGTGCTCCCCACACTCTTAGTTTTCACTTCCGGTCCAGGGGCTGCAGAAATTAAAAGCAGTGGGAACTTCAGCCTCCCCCAGGCTGGGCTGACAGGACCAGACACTTCAGTGGCGTCCCCAGGACCCAGGCCGTCGGTATCTGCAATGTAGGCTTAGAGCGGCCAGGGGCAGGAACGCCCAACCCTGGCCACTCCATGCCTGTGCACATGTGCATTGCCCACAGGCCTGCCATCTTTGTCAGGTTAATTTGCATTCTCTCTCCTGATTGGCTGTGGGCGTCACAAAGGTGGTCAATTTACATATTTGTCTATTATGAGTATAGATTGTGTTTGTACTTCACATTTTAAATCTTCTCTTTGTAATAATCTTATCCTATCTAATAAAGAGGGACTATTCTAATTGACTGCCATGCCCTCGCAAAGATGGTGGCATCCACCACCGATAAGGAGGGAATATGCTACTTGACTGCCATGCCCTCAAAGATGGTAACGCCCAGTCCCCTCAGCCCCCCAGCTGCCCAGGGGTGGCCCGAGGCACAGGCAAGCCTCGGATGGTGGCTGTCCAGCCGCCCAGGGCCACCTGAGGCTCAGGTAACCAGGGCCGGCCGAGACTTACGTTGCTGGAAGTGGCAGCAGAAGAGGTGTGATGGGGCGTCACCTTCCCCTGATCATCAGGTTGTCTCCTGCCCCTGAGGGCTCCAAGACTAAGAGAGGGGGAAGGCAGGCCTGTAGGATTCCCCCTCTAGTGGATGAATTTTTGCACTGGGCCTCTAGTCTATTAATAACTAGTAACTATGATAATAGGATCTGGAGAGTATTATACTAAGCAAAATAAGCCAATCAGAGAAAGAAAGCTATCACATCATGTCACTTATATGTGCAATAAATGAACAAAATAAAATGATAAATAAAATAGATCCAGAGACATGGAAGCATGGAATAGACGAACAAATGTCAGAAGGAAGGGCTGAGGGACTCAGGGGGAGAGAGGTGGGGAAGCGGGGAGAAATTAACCATAGAACTTATATGCATTTATGCATAGCCCACAGACACAGGAAATAGTGTGGTAAGCCTGGGGGGAAATGGGCAAGAGTAGATGGGAAGGGGTTAACTGGGGGGTGGGAGGGAACATCTGTAATACTTTCAACAATAAAGATATATTTAAAAAATAATAATTTTTGCTAATGTTACTATATAAAATGTATTAAATATTGTAAAACCTATAGAATAAGCATCTCTATGTTCTAAGCTAACTATAGGGCTTGCATCTCTACATTTCATGTCACATCTGAAGTATCAGTTTCCAGGTCTGAGTGTAGAGTTCAGATATACAGTGGCTTCAAGAAATCAAATATAGTAAGAATTTAACTATTATGAGATGCAAAGAAAAGGTTGAAAGATTAAGCTTAAGAAAAAGAATCATAACTAAAGCTAAAGCAACAAGTTGACAGGTACAACACACGTTGCCCCTAAACCTGTAATTATCATAAAATATGAAGCTACCATGACTAGTAACAGTTGGTAGAGAGAATGCTATTAAAGGTATCACTGGTTTGAATCAAGCTGAAAAATAATTTGTCTTTCCTTTTTGTTTTAAACGCAGAGAAATTTGTCTGTGTCACATCTCATCAAATTTTCTGTCAAGCCACATCATGTTAGAAAAATCCACTCTGCTGTTGTCTCTTCAGATAAGTCTCCTGGGAGTCACTCTTGGTGGGAATGTTCTGATTTGGCCGATGGAAGGTAGTCATTGGCTAAATGTTAAGATAATTATAGATGAGCTGATTAACAAACAGCATAATGTGACTGTCCTAGTTGCTTCTGGTGCACTTCACATCAAGCCCACTTCCAACCCATCTCTGACATATGAAATATATAAGGTGCCCTTTGAGAAAGAAAATGTGGAAGAAACGC